GGGAGCAAATGATGAACTTATTCGCAAAATGACGCGTCAAATAACAAGTGAATGAGTAATCAAATAATATAAGAAATGTTAAAATAGTGATACAGGCACCTATGGTCCAAATCTTCTCTATGTATCTTCGAGATTTTGCCAATGGGATCAGCCAACATGTTATAGGCTAGGAATACAGAGCAAACAAAAAAAAAATGAAAAAGAAAAATAAAAAATCCTTTTCAATAATCTATAGATTCCTTTACTTCACTGGATCAAAACAATAAGCTGCACATCCTTCAGTGCAACTACCTATAGATCTTTGGCATCACTTCAGCACAAATAAACACAAAATAATGCAGCTCAATTTATGTTTCAAGATCAAAATCACTCTGAAATTTGTAACCAGGCTGTCTACTTTGACAATCATTATGTACAAAGTGGAAGAGCTGCTAAACAGTCACTAGTAATGCATTATTTGATAGCCACACAAGACATCTACTAAGAATCTGGCTTAGTGTAGCAATGGAAAGAGCACACCCTTAAATAAGCTCAACGTGTCCAAACAGGAAAAAGAATGAAAGATGAAAGAAATTTATGTTAATCATTGCAGGGTATGCAAACCTTTTTTGATAAGTAAAGAGTAGCTTTTACTGAAATATCAGCAAAAAGATAATGCTGGGGAAAGTTACAAATCAAAACACAGAGGAGGCCATTACATGAAGGGTATAGGAGCGTCGACGGCAAAAGAGGAAACAACAAAAAACCTTGCATAAATCTGGAACTTGAATATGAAAAACCGAAAGAACCAAACATAAATTCAAAAATCATAGAATCGTTCAGTCGGCAATCATAAAGCAAGAAAACTGCTATCTGTAATAGGACGAAAAGTAAAGTATTGAATCTCATAATTCAAATTATACGCTTCAGAAACAAGTACAGATATTGTCGTCATTCCATATCTTCTAGACTTCTACTGTATGAAATATGCTGTTAAACACAATGATACAGTTGAATATAGAACTAGCATTTAAATACCTCTTCAGTTGCTTCAAAACCCAGGGCCCTATAAAAAAAACATATTAGTTTTATTTATAATAAAATGAAGCAGGAAAGATACCACAGACCATGAGAATGTGGGAGAAAGTAGAATTATCAAAAAATCAAAGAAGGTTATTTAATAGATATCGAGGACGTTGTAAGCAAAGCAAGAAATTATCACAAACCTCATAGCAACATTGAGCTCTTTGGCATCAATGGTTCCTAAATAAGTTGCAAAAAGATTAACACAGTCAGAAAGAAATTTAAATATCAATAACCACATCTAGTATGGATCTCCTTGAGATTTATTTTACTACCAGAGTTGTCTGTATCAAAAAGCTCAAAAGCCTCTCTTATTTCTTGCCTTTTCTGTTGAGTTAACCCCTGATTACGTCCTCTGGGTTTCTCTCTCCGTGATGCACCTCTGTAAAGGCTTGCCTGCAGGACGACATAATTCAGGTGAGTGATACAGACTAAGATCAGAGATGGAGTAGTATCAAGCACAAATCCAATATCACAAAGAGTCCAGCCAACCATCTTTCTATAGCATATTTCTTTCTCGATATATCTATTTAATTCTTTTCCTTTTGTGATGAAAGTGGTGTCTGGGCTAGCTTGTGCATACCTCGACTATTCTATCAGGTACCTGCTACCCTCCCACCTGCACAATTACCAAGCAACTCTACCCGCAATGGCTCAAGTATAGGAAGAAAATCACCTAGTGTTTTTTGCCTCCACGAAAATCTGAACCCGAAATCTCCTGGTTTTCCTCTCAGACTACTAAACTACCCTCGGGTGCATCCAAATCTACATGTTATATCAATTGTTCAGCTCGAACCAAGAGAATAGCATTGTAGACCTCTAGACGTCTGTGTGCGATAGAAACTTTAGCTACATTCATAGAATTAGGCCGATAGAGGTAAAGGATGCAATAAAAAAATATGAAGATTCGCAAAGCTTGTGGTCCAAATAGCATCTATATAGAGGTCTGGAAGTGCCTTGTAGAGGCCGGAGTAGAATGGCTCACATTCACAAAGCTATTTAATGCTATACTAAGAAGTGGTAGGATGCCCAAAAAGCGGAGAAAGAGTACCCTAATACCAATTTATAAAAATAAAGGAGATATTCAAAGTTGTGCAAACTATGTGGCATTAAACTCATAACTCATATGATGAAACTCTGGGAAAGAGTGATAAAGCGTAGACTTATAAATACGACAAGAGAGACAGAGAACCAATTTGGATTTATGCCCGGTAGATCTATAATGGAAGCCATATTCTTGCTAGAAGAGTGATGAAAATTTATCACGAAAGGAAGAAAGATCTACCCATGGTATTTATTGATCTAGAGAAAGCATATGATAGAGTGTTACGGAAGGTCCTTTGGTGCGGGAAGGAGAAGAAAGGAATTCATATTAACCAAGTCAGTCATTTACGAGGGTATTTGTTTGACATGTTTTAATTGAGGGAGAAGGGTCGGGCGGCTTATGGGTAACCGAGTCCGGTTGGGTTTTCTTAATGATGGGTTGGTTCTTTCACTCAAACAACGCCATGTGTCAAGTCCTTTAAAACGTGGGTAAATGTAGAACTTTGATGGATGGTAGGGGTATTATATGAACTGAAAGTATAACAAGAGACGATTGAACAATAAAAAAAAGTAGAGCGGTATATCCGACCCTAGTCTGTTATAT